GCCAGGGGCAACAGAAGGGGGGGAAGAGCTTGTCCTCGTCAACGAGTGGCCGACGAGATCGAACGTCTTGCAGGCCATTCGAGCCAAGGGCGTGGTCAAAGTGGCAGCAGGAGTCGCCCCAGTGGGGTGGCTCGAGGAGTAGTTGGGGACGTGGGTGGGCACCCTGATGGCCAAGCTCCCCTTTCTCTGGCTCAGCTCAGCAGTGTATGGTTGTAGACGGCACCGAAGCTCGGCGCCATCCATTTTTTTTTTCGCTCTGGGACCTGACAGCCATGTGTATCGTGTCCCAGCGAGCTCTGCACATCGCGCCAGCCATTTCACCACTCGCGCGCCCATGTCACTCGGTGGAATCGTTTGTCGCTTACAGCTCAATGCAGAGCTGGCCCAGCAGCTCGCAGGCTATTTGTTTTCCGCCGAACCCCGATGATGATGATGATGATGATGATGATGATGATGATGATGATGATGCTGATGCTGATGCTGATGCTGATGCTGATGCTGATGCTGATGCTGATGCTGATGCTGATGCTGATGCTGATGCTGATGATGATGATGATGATGATGCTGCTGCTGCTGATGATGATGATGATGGTGGTGGTGGTGGTGGTGGTGGTGATGATGATGATGATGATGATGATGATGATGTTGAGGAAGCGGCAGCTCGTGAGTTAGAGCTTTGTGAGCGCCGAGAGACGAGCGCACGCAGGCCTGCCGCTCATTGGGCCCCATGCGAGGCCCGCCCAGCCAAGGCGAGTAGGGTCACGTGCCATACGACGGGATATGTAAAGTATGCCACAGTACGCACTGCTTCAATCACGACTCTGCGTTGCGTAGTTTGTTTTCCTTGAGGTCTGCATGGTGACACTCCTCATCGAACGTTTTCTTCGGTGTTCAGTGGTTTTTTTTTTCAACCGTGGGATGCATTCCAGCAGTTGCGCCTCGCCGAGCGCGTTCTGGAGCTACCCGCGTCGTCCCGAACGGTCACCGGAGAGCCGAGCTATGACGTTAGTGGGGGGTAGGCTCAGGGAGAGATGCATCGACCCCCGATCGCCCACTCACGGCCGAGAGGGGCCCAATCACGCACCCATCCCAGGAAGGTGTGGATTCGCTATCGGCGGCCTGTCGGCGATTTACGTGCGTGCGTGTTCTTTACGGCTTCTGATCCAGCCTTCAACGGTTACGCTCAAAGTGTTACCATCCGGACCAGTTCGGCTTCGGAGGGGTCTTCGTGCTCGTTTGGGCTCCTCGTGGATCCCTGCGACGCTGTGCTGGAGCAGTGGTTCCGTTCCCTGCTGCAGGTTCTCCACGCTTCCAAAGCTTCGGTTCAAGGGCATCAAAAAACGTCCCTACCCTGGTTACGAGGCGCTGTGCGCTGAAACTCCTGTGGGCTGACAGGGTAAACCCTGCGTGATGTGCCGCGTCCTGGCGGCTCTAGGCTTTGGGGTTCCCAGGAGGTTTACAGACCGCGCACTTGTAACCCAGGGTAGGGTCGTTTTTTCATTCCTCAATTGGTTGTGCTGACAGGGCCCGGGCCCAGGCCGAGCAGAGCTGCAGCAGCGGCCCCGCGGGCGGGCCGAGAGAGGGCGGCGGCGCAGACAGCGGCTCGGCCGCTCACGCGGCCGCTCGCGGGCGGCGGCGCGGCCACCCGCGCGGGAGGAGCGCCTGCGAGCGGCGCCGCCCGGGCGCGCGCCCGCGGCGGCGGGCGGAGTCTCCGGAGGGTGCCAGGGCAGGAGTGGAGCTGGGTTCCAGGGAAGGGAGCGCAGCTCAAAGTTGCGTGACGTTGGGTGAGTGAGTTTGCCTCCTCCTCCTCCTCCTCCTCCTCCTCCTCCTCCCTCCTCCTCCTCCTCCTCCTCCTCCTCCTCCTCCTCCTCCTCCTCTGAAGTTTCACAGCTGCCTGGGCGCTCCTCTGCTGCACGCTGCGCGGCAGCGTTGCTGTGGCAGGTCGCGGTTCCAGAGCTCGTGGGGGGCACGGCTGGTTGCATGCTGTGGCGATTGAAGAGTTGATCTGTCGCCGAGCGTAGCACTAAGTCGGGCCTGTCCCTCTACAGGGAGGATATTCAAAAATGGTTTTTAAACAAGTAGTGTGGGAATCATTTTTTGAATATAGTTTGACCATTTTGGGGGTATTGTTTGACTATTTCTAATATTTCGCCCAACATCCCCCTGTAGGGGGACATGCCCGACTTAAGCGTAGCAGTCAGTAGTTGTTTGTACCCTGTGGCGCTGGACGGAAGACGGGGGTCCGCCACAGGACGTCCACAACGATTGCGAGGGCTGGTCCTCTTTCGCGAAGAACTGGACGTTCGCGAAGCAGGCGCTCGAGGTCATGTGCGGTGAGTACGGACTGACTGGTGGGCCTGCGTTCGTCTTGCTGCTCTGTTGTCTCCATGCAGGGTGAATGGAGGATGACGATTAATAAATGACCAGGGGTCGTGTTCACGCGGCGGCGCCCGGGATGATGATTAGAAAAAACCGGCCGCGGGCTGGAAAGCTATTTTTGTTCATCGTTCCCCCGCCGCCGTCCTCGGGCGCGCGCCCGGGCGGCCGACGGGCCAGACGGAGCCGAAGCGGAGGGTTAGGAGGGAAGGGGTCCAGGAGAAAGGAGCGGGGTCAACAGCAGCGGGGTGCAGAAACAGCAGAAAACTTTTTTTTCAATCGTTCTCCCCCATGCTTTTTATTGATCGTCATCCCGCGTTAGTGATGTGTCCAGGTCACCCGCGGGGGCCCGAAGATAGTCGTGCTGCACGCGTCGCGGTCTGGGCCGCCGTGGCTGCCCTTCTCCGAGAGGGGCGGCGCGGGGTCGCGCGGCGCGGAGTATAACCGTTCGTCGCGCATGGCGGGGCGCGGCGCACCAGCTTAGGCGACCCACCGTATTCTCCTTCGGCTCGTGCTCATCCAGCCTCCTCGTGCCTTGCCCTGCTCACTCCAGGTGCCGTGCCCACTCCGTGCGCCGTTCGCTGCTCGTGCGCCGTGCCCTGTCCATGTCCCGACGCCTGGCTCTCCCGTAGCCCCTGCTCTGGACTGAACTGCTCTCTTGCCCCATCCTGCTGTTGCTCCTCCTCGCCCTGGTTTTGCTCCTCCTCTTCCTCCTCCTCCTCTTCCTCCTCCTCCTCCTCTTCCTCCTCCTCCTCCTCCTCTCTGCTTCTTTCTTGATGGAGGGCTTGCTTCACGGATGCTGATCGGCCCTCCTGGCGGATCGAAGACGCCTACGGCGACCCACTCCCCCCCCTGCTCTTCGAGAGTGCCCATGCGGCCAAACGTTGGGCCAAAGTCTGGCCAAGCTATTGGGCCATGTGGGTCGTTCCAGAAAGGGCTTTGCCTTCGAGGCTGAAAGGAGTTGCTATCTCTCCCGCGGCGGAAGGGCGGCCGAAGGTCGGCGGAAGTAGAACGAGGCCGCCTCCACCGGCGGAAGCCGTCGGAAGCTCGGCGGAAGGCGGCGAAAGTAAAAGATGTGCCCCCACGAGATGGACACGTTTTTGGGTGCAGGGTTTTTGGGATCGCCCATGTGTTCTCCCAGCCGTTGTGGAGCCCCTGGGGGAAACAGCTGGGAGAGGCAGAGAAACGAGGATGAGAGGGAGGAGAAGCAGGACGAGGAGAAGGAGGAGGAAAAGGAAACCTCATGAGGCCGTCTTCTGGCTTCCTGGAGTCTTCCTGGGAGCCTCTTGGGGGCCTCTGAGGGGTCTCGTGGGGGCCTGGGGGTCATCTTGGAGCCCTCTTGGGGTCTCGGGGGCCTCGGGGCCGCCAGGAGGGCAGATTGGACCGTCTTGAGGCCATCGTGGTCGTCTTGGGGACGTTGTGGGACCGTCCTGGAGGCCATCCTGGCCAGCTTGGCCATCTTGGAGGCATCTTCGGCGCTTGAGAGGCGGAGGATCTGTTTTTTGTGTGTTGTTCAGGTAGGCCAGCGGGATCGACCGAGACCCCATGGGGAGCTAATAAGCGGTGCTTCCAGCCGTAAAACACTCTGCACGCCAAGCACCCCTTCGTGAGAAACAGAGCACGGGGCGGCGGGTGACAGAACGCGCGCGTACGTGCGACGCGCTAGCCGGGGTATCCGAAATTGGGGGAGTTTGAGGTGGTTGGTAGGCCTCGGCCCAGACATCTAGTAGCCAAAATGGCCATTTCGCTGGGGACATCCTCAAAGCACAGTGATGTCTTGGGATCGCTCTTAGAAGGCCTCAAGATGGCCCACCATAGCCCGACAAGATGGGACATCAAGGGACATCAACCGGCGATCTCCCATGCAAGCATCCCCCCGACAGGCCAAGAGGAGGGCTCGAGGTGCCGCCGAGATCGTCCCAAGACGGCCCCACAGGCTCGCAAGAAGGCCTCAACATGGCTCAAAAGAACCGAAGGCGGCACGAGAGCCTCCCAGGTCCCAACGCGGACAACGCGCAGTTCTGGAAAGCGGCCGGCCCAGATGCAGTCGCTTGCTGCAGACGCCAGGCTGCCACAGACCCCCAGCGGTGTCCGGGCTGCCCCCCGCCTCTCTCTCTTGATCTCGGGCGACGAGGTCTATGCGTATCCACGGCTCCTTGGCCAGGCCCATCCTGAGCCCAGGAGCTGTGCATGCGCCCTCCTGGCCAAGTCAGGAGGGCGTGGCGTATACACCGCTGGGCTTTAGGAGGGGCCTGGCCAGGGAGCACTGGATGTGCACCTGTAGCGTCGCCCTGTGGCTCGTGCCTCTTGCCTCTTGCCTCTGCTCTCTCTCTCTCTCTCTTTCTCTCTCTCTCTCTCTAGATCTCTCTCCCGCTGCCCCGCTGTGGGCTCGAGCCTTCCTGGATCAAGCTGGGGGGTCGGCCTCACTGAGCCCGAGGCCGGGCACTCTGGCGCCGTGGGAGCTCCCGGGAGCCGGCGCAGGCCGCGCGATGCGTCGCGCCGTGGGGCGCCCTGCATCTGCACCTGCACCTCCCGCCCCCCCCCTCCAGAAGGTGCGGGAGGCGATGTGATTTTGGGTGTGTCTGTGGATGTCTTGGGGTGCCCTGGGTTCAGCTCTCCCTGGGATCTGCCTCACCCTCGTCGCAGTTGCTGCTTGCTGCATCTGGCGCCGCCGCGGCCGCCTAGTCGCGCGCGTTAGCCGTCGGTAATTTAAGCCGGTCGCGGCCCGACCTACTTCGCCCGCCGCTGGCGCGTTCGCCTGCGGCCGTAAAAAAACAACAACAAAAAATGTCTTGGGATGTCTCGGACGTCTGTGAGCGTCTGCGGTTGTCTTCTTGCCAGTTCTCGCAAGTTGTGCGCCATTCGGCAGATTGGCTCTGGGCCGTCGTCTGCGCTCCTGGGCGAACGCTTGTCGATGACAAGCTGGTGGCGATGTTGTTGTCGATGCTGCTGGTAGAGTGCTAGATGGTGTTGGTGCTGGTGTGCTGCTGATGGATTCTAGAGTTATGCGCTGTGGGCGGTGATTAGCATGATGGTGATGATGGTGACCGGGGCCATTATGTCCGATGGCGAACGGGATGATGATGTTGATGCTGACGATGACGATGACGATGAGGATGATGATAATGATGATGTTAACGACGATTGAGGGGGTAGTAACACGGGTATGGGCGAGGAGCGATGGCGATCGCGATGATGACCTTTTGTGGCGATGCCGGCGATGGGACGATGCCGATAACCACGATGCCGCTGATGATGGCGATGGTGAATTTTATGATCCTGAAAGGACGAGGATCCAAGGGATCCCAGAGTCTCCCCATGCAGCTGAAGGGCATCAGCATGGCATGCGCATGTTTCACCAACGCAAGAGGAACCCAGTGGCAGAAAAGGGGAGGGACGACGCGGGCGCGGAGAAGGCGGGGGGGGAGGAAGGGGGGGGCGGAGCGCCCGCGCGCGCGCCCGGCCGCCCGCCGGGGCCCGCGCAGCCCGCGGCAAGCACGCGGCGTGGCGGCGCCTCGCCACAGTACGAGTCGCACGCCGGTGCAGGCCGCAGCAGCTGCGGCCGCGCCGGCACGAGCCGTGCTCGAGCGCTCAGCGCCGGGCGGCGGCGCGCCCGCGCCGGCCTGCCCTTCCCGGTCGCCCGGCAGGGCCATGGCCGCCGCGAGCATCGCAGCGGGCTTGTGGGCGGCGGGGTCGCCCGCTGCAGCCTCCTCCAGAAGCCGCGCCCCCTCCCGCGCCCTGCTGGCGCCTGCGCCCGCGTAGGCTCGCGTGGCTGCCGCCTGCTGGCGCAGCGCCGCTGCCCGCTCGCCGGCTTCCCCAGAGCGCCGGAGGCCCTGGGGCTGGCCGCCGCCGCCCGGCGCGGGAGGCGGCGGCTGCCAGCCCCAGGCGCCGCCGTCGGCGTCGCCTTCGCCGTCCTCGGCGTCCGCCCAGCGCTCGCGCTTCTCCGCGGGCGCCGCCCACGCCCCGCTCTGCCGCGGCGGGGTCACCACCGTGGCAGGGCTGGCGGGGCCGAGCTGAACTGGTGGCGCCCTCTCTCAGGAGGGAAAGAAACACACAGACACAATTAATCGTCGACTCCCAGAAAAATACGGGAAAATATGGGAAGTGGGGGGGAAGACAAAAACCCAGAAAATATGTGAAAATATGGGGAATCATTTTATTTGTGTGTATTTATTTGTGTGTCCTGAGGCCCCTTTACTCTCGCCGAGGGCGTCGGCGTGATCAGCTCCGCAGCAGCGGGGCTGCGTCCTCGGCAGGGGGCAGCGCGGACGCCCAGTCGCGCTCATACTCGGCCTCAATGCCGTGCTCGAGAGCACCCAGCGGCACCAGCAGGACGTCGTCGCGCTCCGTTGCCCTGCCAGAGTCGACTCCCGACGCCCCGCCAGTGGGGCCGGCGGCCGTCGCCCCGCAAGCGGGGCCGGTGTAATAGTGCGATCCGTTGCCCCACCGGGGCCGGCTTCCGTTGAGCCCCGCCGCGGGGGCTGGTGACCGTCGCGTCGCTGACGGGGCTGGCGCGGGCGGCTAGGCCCTTCTCTGCAGGAGGAGGCCCGCGTCCCGTGCCCCCCCCCGGACACCCGCTGCGACTTCCAGGACCGGGAAAGCCCAGCAAGCCGTGCCGCCGGAGGGAGCGCCAGCGGCCGCCGCGGCGCCCCCTCCTGCGTCGCCGCCGGCTCTCGGAGAGGCCGGTGCTGTCGCCGGCGCCGCTGTCGAGGCCGGGCTGCTGCTTGAGTTGTCGCCTGGGCTCGAGCTGCTCTCCAGGCGGCTGCGTGCGGCCACCGCTGGCGACGCCGGCGCTCCGGCCGTCGTTGGCGGCGCCGTGGGCGCGGGGGGCTGCCCGTCCGCCGCGGGGGTGCTGCCGCTGGGGCCGCCGCCGTCTCCGGCGCCGCGGCGGCCGCCGCGCCTCTCGCCTTCGCCGCCCGTGTTGTCTCGCTGCGGCCGCCGCGCGGGCGCCACGCCGCGCTGGGGCGGCGTGCCG